GCTCCCCAACCTTTGCACTCGGATTTTACCTATCGCCACGCGTGCGTCACGTGTCTTTTTTAACGCATCTAAAAAAGTATCTTTAAGTCCTTTTGCAACAGCATTGCTTAATAAGTTGAAGAGAGAAGACGAAACGATATTTCATCTGTCTTTTCAGGACGTAGATATACGAGAAAGTATATTTTCGAACAAAAATATAAATTAATAAGAGCATTGAAATTATCCAATAAATTCCTGAGAGGGGAACAAGGAGGGAGAGACAAACACTGCGTTTCTGTGTTAGGTAACCCCACCTTGAGGAAAGTCATTTATATACTTTTTAGGATTGTACAGTTGAATGACTAGGTATATGGTTTTGAGTTCCTCATAGTAACTTCGGTTATCCTGCCATTTTGAAAACGCATTCGTTTTAATTGTATCTGCCGCTATTCTGTTCTGATTATCTCCACCAATAACAATTTTTACTGAGTATGATCGTAATTACACGTCACATGTTGTACGTGTAAAAGATTTCCGGCAGATGGATGCTATGTAATATGTTTGCATGCGTTGTGATTTACTTATCAATGATCCCTGTTTTACATCAGACGGTTCTCAAACTGCATTACGCGTTCCATACAGGGATAAGCGGAATGTTGTTGGTTTCGTGAACAACCTCAATGGGTAGATTTGAAAGAGAAAATAACCCTGAAAATTTAAAGCTTTCTTCCACATTACTATAATTGTATGTATTGGATCTAAATTTAGAATAATATCAGTACATTATAGAACATGCCTGAATAATTTGGTTGTATAATAACCATTAAATCTCTTAATATACAGACCCTTCGACGTGGAGGTACATTAAAATTCTAATCATGTGGGTAGATATTATTTTTGAAATGGTCAAGAACCACAATTCCAGATAACTTAATGGTCTACTCGCGATTGTATCAGCGTATGTTAATCGCAAATAAACAAGGAAGTCACCCCTCACTGGCTCACTCCTCGCCTGTCTCCTCGTCAAAACAGCTGTTGAGCGGTTCTGCTAGTTCCCTACATGAAGAGACCAGTGGACTAATCTTTCATCACTCTTATAAAGATTCCGATGTAAACAAAGAAGCGAAGTTCGATCCAACCGCGTTTCGATTCATCCGCGACTACCAGTCTCATTGGCCAATTGCTCCAGCTCCGCCTTAATGGCACACGTGTACACGAACTGTCAGGAGTGATCGCGCCAGCAGCAGTCCCACCTGCGATTAGAATAAAACTCTTATTTTCAGCATTGACACATGCATCCCGTTTCACAATCGTCACTCCTACTCATTGCAGACTTATCTGGAAGGTGTTCAACATCCATATCGTTATTTCCTTGGTTTGACTAGTATTTTGCGTGTACTCCTCCCTGTATGTGTTCATTACTCCCGTGGACCATGAAGTGCATTCGGCGATCTGCTTAATGGCCAATGTGGGATTTTTTTTAGCTACACGAGAAAACACTCAAAACGATAGTTTTTCGATGCTTATTAATAGGCTCACTCTCTTACGTTTTGTAAAAGATGGTTTTTCGGCAGGTTCCACCAATAAAAATTATATGTATGCACGAAAATAACAATCATTAAAAGAAGCTACGCCGATCTTGCCCTCACTAAGTAAAGGGAACTGACTGCTCCGTTGCTTACGGAGCCCCACGAATGCTGCGTTTGGGATTTTGTTATGAGCCAACCGCCAATCAAGCTGCCAGCATCACACGACGGGTGTAAGATTTTTTCACCGCCATTATTCGACGCCTTCGCCTTCGGCCTATTTCAAAACAGTGGCCCTATTTAGAGTTTCTGGTACCCATTTTCTGCATTATACAATCGTTTTTATTTCTCTAAACCCTTCTATTTTCAAACTTTCATTTTTTTTTAAATTTAATTTCGACGAAAACTATTTTTAGAAGCGAAACGTTACTCGTACGAACCCGCAAATCCAAGCAACCGATAAAAGGCTGGATTAAGCAATGCGTACATTTGTGTACATCAGGGCCATTCTAAGGCTGAACAGACCTCAGACAGACATGTAGGCCTTCACATGCATGCACTGTGGGGTCTCCTCGCTCCGGCGATCGCCAGCGCCTCCCGCGCCCGTCGCGATTACTCTGCACGTCTGCGTAACTCGCAGCGCATGCGCAGTGGGCGCGTCACAGCGTGACGCAGCAGCCGCCGCTGCGAAAGCAACCTCCTCCCACAGGCACACTCCCCCCACAAGTATTCCGTGAGGATCCCACAGACGCTAACTTGATTGATTGTTAGTGATTCCGGGCGTATCAACAAATCAGGTCATTAGTCCCGTAAGTTTAGTGCATGCTTTTCTCTGGCGGAGGAAATGGTCTTCTTCTGCAGGCACCCTCCCCTCACAAGTATTCCGTGAGGATCCCAATGACGCTAAATTGATTAATTGGTAGTGATTCCAGGCGTATCAAAAACTCAGGTCATTAGTCCCGTACGTTTAGTGCATGTTTTTCTCGGGAGCTGGAAATGGTCTTCTCTCGCTCTATGGCGAGTTCCGGCGCCGACTAACACGTCTAGCAGGTATTTCCCGCACCAGGCACCTCCCACTAGCGGGGCACCTGCGCCGAGACAAGCTCGAAGTTCCCGACCGGTCTCCCGACATGTGTAGTAGTCTAGTGCTCGTTAGTGTGTGTGTGTAAAGGGTGAGGATAGAACAAGGAGGCAGTAGGAAAGACCGCGCGCGGGCCGTGGCCCATTTGATAAGGTACTGCTCCGGCTTTCACTTGATGTTGATCGGAGGAATCAAAGAAAACTACCAATAAGAGCAGGCGACCGTTAGAATTATCATACAGGCAGCGTCTGCATTCGACCTAGCTGACAAGCTAGAGTCGAAAATCCTGCCACCCTCCTGAAACCCTCAGTCTCAAACTCAGTCTCAAACACAGGACCTCCCGGTCAGAGGGACTGCAGTGACATCATTTGATACCCTGAGGCATCTCACCCGGTGACACTAACTTGTATTCTAGGCTTAACTGGTGTGACGGTTAGCGTATCGTACTGGTGTACCAGAGTTCACAAGGTCAAACCCGATCGAAACCGTGGATATTTAAGCGAGAAAAATCCTTCTTACGCCTTCATTCCGAGGGTGTTGTTGATTTACTGCATGTAAAATATCTGCAAGCCTAAAAGAACTTTTGATATAAATGCAAATCGCATGTTTCGATGCCCGACTGACATCTTTCTCTACCTGACGGCGAGAGGGGCATGGTGAAACTTGCTTGGTCAGGCAGAAGAGCGTGGCATGGTCTATGCCTCGCCAGGGGAAAAAAGGCATCATCGATTGATTATATATTCTGATTCCTATACCAACGTCTTTCGGCTACCTTGGGATGAATGAAAGAAATTGATAGGGTGTTGTTGATGACGATGTTAACGATGATAGAGCAATGATAGAATGAGAGACAGAGGAAACGGGCCGCGACCTGCTTTTCCTCATTATAATAATTAGGACCATTTGGATCAACCGGATCATCAATGATCCATTTGGATCAACCGGATTTCATTCCAAATAATTTGATCTCTGGTTCTAGCCGGTTCAGGTCAAGGGCCACCCACCTAGGTAAATAAATAATAACTCAGCTAAAATAGTCAGTAGCCTTTTTGATCAGAAATGGAAATAATGATCAACCATGAACGCCATGAAAATGGGAAATGCAATAGTAGCCTATTGCATGACGTGGAAAGATAATAACCGATATACGTAACAGAAACAAAATGCTATCTATGGAACGCGCTTCATTCCGTGTGTTTTTGTGAAAGGGACATAAATATCTTTGAAATAGTCATATATAATGTAAGAAGGGAAACCAACTATCAGTGCAGAGCCAAGGCTTCTAATTGTAGAAACGAGAAATCTGACCAGCACGTTTGTATTTCAATGTATATAGCCACTAACAAATAATTTTGCAGACCTCATTCTCTGAAGGGGTAAATGCAATTCGCAATGCATCGAGGCACTGCGGATAAAGGGAAAACGGGACGGGCAGGGAGGGAGGGGCGGAGTGGAATGAAAAGGTGCAGGGCGAGGCCAGACGAGGAAAGCGAGTTGAGCGGAACGCGGACGAGAGGCGCAACAAATAGAATCGCTTCCAGATTACACTATTGATGCAATCCACTTTCCGGACTAATAGACGGCTCTGATAATTGCACTGCTGTACCGCCGGGTTGCTTCGACTAGTATGATATAAATAGCGCACAGCCATGTGTCATAGTAAAAAGTATACTGAAACAGTGCAGAAACCTTTTTAGCTTGATCCAATGTGGGGTATATGCATTTTATTGCAAGTCAAAACAGCTGAGAAGAAAGTGTGGCAAAACCGAAAAAAACAGCCTAGACTGAGGAGAAAAATTTTCAAGTTAATCTGAGGAAGTCTATACCATTGTGTAGCAGCACTATTTTTAAATTAACACTTGTAAGTTACATATCAAACATTTCGCTTCTCGTCATTTGAGATTAAAATAAGTTAGCAAGCATTCTATATACTTTAAACGTCCCGGCTTCGCCAATCCGCTTGTTTCTTCGGCACAACAGCCATTCAGTATGCAGGGAAATAGTGACGACTGTCGAAAGAGTCATCAGCTGATGCTAGAAAGGGAACGGAGCTGGCTGCTTCATCTGATAAGCGAGCCGACCGGCCGACCGACCGACCGACCGACCGACCGACCTCTAATCCGCTCCTTGCGCCGAGCTGTGCCCGTGTTAACGCGCGCTGGGGCACACAAGCCCCAACCTTCTCTAATATAATGATAGAAATTCGCACTTATTGTACATTTCGTTTTCTTATAAATTGGATTTGGCCGATTTGGTGCAATTAATTATGTTATTACGCTCACATATCCTTTCACATTGACTGCATATGCGCTTATAATTTGGTTAGTGGAAGCACTTTGCGTTTCATCCGATGGCGGAACCCATGCACTTCCAGACGCGTAATCACATGTCTTTGATTGTATCCTGCCTTGATCAATTCTCTATCTATCAGTGATGTACAATTCCAACAAGTATTGTGGCCATAAATATGCTGTAGAGATGAAATGATAAGAGAGATTGGACAGTGGTAGGGTTCAAAAAAGGGCATGTGTAACGCACAAGTTCCACCCAAGCTTCTCTGGGCTCTGAATATTATGAATAATACAATATGCGCCTACTCTAAGAAATACTGCATATGCAACTTAACTATCAAGATAACTCTCTTCAAAAATATATCCCGCGATCGACAGGTCACTTGTGACGGACTTGTTGAGGCAACAGCTGATATCGCTGTTGAGGTGGCTTAGGGCAACAGCTGATATCGCTACAGTGCCTCTGACCGGAAGATCCAAGAGGTTGAGTCCCGATTTTGGGAGCCTTCTCAACACTAGCTAAATAGCTGGGTCGAATTCAACCGCTGTCTGCAGGAAAATTCCAGGGGCTTTCTGCTCTGTTTGGTAGTTATCTAGCACTGTCTTTTTAAATCCAAACGAGGCGAATGCTGGAATAGTACCCTACCAAATGGGCCTCGGGCCGCGTTTAATCCTTCGATCATCTTTCTTATCTTATCCTTGCCCCTTACTTATCTTATCCTTGCCTCTTACTAACATATACATGCACAATACTACACGTGTCGGGAGACGTATCCTTAGAGTTCATATCGGTTGGGGCGATGCCCCGGTGATCATGGCAATGATGAAAAGCAATCCGACGTGTAATGCAACGCCGGACCTCACCATTTTCGTGACAAGATAATGAGCAGATTTTGATAGACAATGTCTCAATAGTTTTTTTGTCTGCTTCGTTATATTCCCGGTCACCTCAATAATACTGTCATTAGAACCAATGCGGTACAGTGACTGTTATATTGCGTGCGGTAACAGTGTTTTTCTCCCGCTGGAAGGTATCACCCGGCGCCGACCCTCACGTCGGCTTGCAGGGGATTTCGCCCTCCAGGTATCTCTCCTCAATGGCACACTGCCCCAGCCGGGACAAGCTCTAAGCTTTATACTAGTTTCCCTCCATGTGCACTAAGTGGTGCATGTAAGTGTCTATGCAACGACTGTCGAGACGATGTTGAGGAAGGAAATATATAGCGCGGTGCGGAGTCTGCGGAGATACGTGGAGTCATTCGCCTGGTATTTTCGGAGAAATCGCGGAAACTACCGATTACAGCAGCCGGCCGTGAGAATTTTCCTTCAGAGAGTGGTGTGGTTAAATTCAATCCAGATTCTGTCGTTAGTGTGGAAAATCAGCCACGCCAGGTCCGAACGCGAGTCAACTGAAAGTGACGACAGCTGTTTGCACTGAGTCATCGCACCTGCTCCATTTATTTCAAGGAGAATTGAGAAGAAGAATCGCAATCCATCCATTGGCCAGAGGTAATCTAACTCCGGACGTCGATAGTTTTAGGGTGGCAGCAGCTGTCACTAACTTGGCGGAGTGCGCCAAACACGACAGCCCGTCTGCGCTTCTTGTGTTTGCGGCGATAGCGCCGGCGCGTCTGCGCTAGCGGCACTGCCGCCCCGCCCTGGACCGTCCTCGTCCTCCACGCACCGCCCACTCCCCCGGCCGCCCCACCCGGCCCCACCCGACGCGCCCTCGCCGACCCTGCGACGCCCCTGCCCTGGCACTCGCCCTGACCGCCCTGCGCAGCCCCATACCACCCTGGCACCGCCCACGCCGCCCTCCCACGCCCTTACCATCGCCCCACCCCGGCCCGCCTATGTCTTCGCCTCCGCAACACGTCGTGACACGCTGCCTTGGCGGCAAAATGAGTCTCGCACGGGCTGCGCAAGAAGCAGGCGGAACCATTTCCGGGGTCGATTTGGATGAACGGCGTGCCTTGTCACGAACTGCAGTGAAGAACACTTGTTTTGCCAATGATAAGGCTCCCGCCGCTATCAAGCCACATTCGACTTTTGTTTTTAACTTTAATACTCTGCGTCAGTGAACACTTTTGTTTTTACTTTTTTCCTGTCTGCCGAATGTGGCCAGTTTTCTTATAATGAATAGAGGGAATTCGTATAAATTCAACAACCAAACAGCACGAGTAACAATTATATAATATATATATATTATATATATATATAATATATATATATATAATATATATATATATATATATATTAGCGTATATATACTTCTAAATAAATGGAAAGATTGAATTCTAAGGCACACTCCGACGAGTTCCAGTTACGTTTCAAATCTTAAATTGGGCAGATAGTTTTGGTACTTTTAGCACGTGTCAATTTCGAAGCTAATTTTTTAATGATTTTCATGATGCATTCAGAGAAGTGCATACTAACGAAACGAGCAACAGGCTCAGTGGTCCACGATTATTTCAGAAGTATTCCCTCCATCCGGTCGAATTGGACCGTATTTTAAAGAGAAAACGGCGCGAAACGAGATGCATGGCGGCAGTGACGACGCTGAAAACTTGCTTGTGGGCAATACGTTTTTAACGAATACTACTCTTCAAGTAATGAACGCATCTGTGGAATGGCACATTTCACCAGGTCACCTATTATATTTCACTTCTCGTATACATACGTACATAGAGAGGAATATACACAGTGAAGAGCTATATATAATTTCATATAAAAAGGCTGCAGAAAATCGATTACGAGAATTTTCAACAACAATCCATATTTTGGAGGTTTTTCTGATACCCAAATGAAGTGTTTTTGAAACATCCATTCTCTCTGAGTGTAGTGAACAACCCTAGCGCTAAACTGGTGTGGTATTCTTAGTCAAATGAAACTATTTCCCAGATCGATGTGGTTTCAACTCTATAAGTTCCCTGAGAATTTGAAAAGAATCCTTTTCAAAATTTTTGGAGGGAACTTTACAAGAAGCCCCTTGAGATTTTTCACAAAATGTTCTCAAATACAGCTTTAATTTTTGTCTTAAATTTCTTACACATCTAGGCAAAATGCAATTTTAATGTTGACACATATCTGAAATTATTCATTGTTAAGTCCATTGCTAACGAACAAAAATGTGGAAAATATGTTTGTTAGGCGCAGTTAATGGAAAGAAGGCGAAACAAAAATCTAATACTTAACCCAGGCTAAAGCGAATTAGGAACTAGTAATAGAAAGTCTATGCCTTCTAAGCACTTTTCTTTCTTTTACGAATCGTCAACCCAGCAGTGTCGTAATGCCGCATTGTGGTGTGACACTGAAAAAGAGGCCTCGTGCTCCACGAGCTGAGTGGCATCCTGTATGCGTCATTACCCACTGATTGCTGCCATTGCCACATCCTCGCGAGGGAATGGAAAAAGAAGCACGGCGGCGGATGGGTGCGGCCGATCGGGTTTTAATTGCCTTCGGTCTGCACGTCCACCAGGCATAAAACACAATACAAGGTGCAGCTGACGCCCGATTTCAATGCTTTTCTCCGGTACAAGCGCTAACGAGCAAATTTGTAAAAGACGACGGAGAAACGCCCTCCTGGACATTAGTAATGGGGAATGTTGAATTCCGGGCGCGACAACTTCTAAGCGTATTTAGTCCCGTGAGTAGAGGTATTCCATTTTTCCTCGGAGGTGGTGGTGACGTCGCCCCCCCTCTGGACGGCGGGATACGGCGCGACCTACAGTCAGCTAACGGAATTTCCCCCAACCAGGTTTCTCCTCTAACGTGCGGCTCCCGCGCCAGCCAAGACAAACCTCGCAGGCCGGTCTCTCGCATAGGTAGTGGTAGTCATGTTAATGTAAGTGGTGTGTTAAGTAAAGGGATGAAGGATAAAACAAGGAAGAGGAAGAAAAGATCGCGCGCGGACCGTGACTCCCGTTTGTGAGGGGGTATGCTCCGTCCCATTCCGCAGCCTGGAGAACCACGGAAAACAACCTATCAAAGCAGCCGGCCGCTGGAATTCTCCTCAGACAGCGACGGAATTTGACCTAGCTGTCAAGCTAGTGATGCTGAGCTATCTCTCCGTCACAATGAGGGAGAATTTACTTTCCACTCAATCACTCAAGATGATTGCACAGAAAATATTATTTCTAAGTTCCGGAACCAAACGTATCAGCTAAAGACTATTTTCCTTTCCATTTTTTTTAAATGTGTAAAATGGTACAGATACAATCCGGATATCGCAGACGGAAATAACAAGTATATTGAACGTTGCAAAGTCGGCTGAGTGGTTCTATCAAACTCCGTTCGCAAATTCTTTTTGGATTTCAATTGCAGCATCCAATGCTTCCGGAGAGAAAACTTAATCTCGCCT